GGGAGAGACACTTCATAAGTATAGGAGAAAGATCATTCATCTGTCACCAAGCATACCAGAGTTAGCAAAGCTGTACTACCAATTTGCAGAGGAAGATGAAACGTCTGCTCTGCCTCCTGTTCCTACAAAATCCTTAGTATATGGTGGTTCTTTGTGAGGAATAAGAATTGCAATTAATCTTGCTTCAGAAGTTGAATCATTTGATAATGACGGCATAATCAATGATTTTGATGATGATATATCTGCTGAGAGCTTTGCCACCTATTTCGAGGAAATAGGCCTAAAATTAGAGGATGAAGAACTTCAGAAGTGGCTTGGAACTGATGACAATGACTCTGGCATGCAATTGTTTACAGATGATGAGATTTGTGAAATTGTGTTACATCCTGATATTGAACCATAGCAAGAAGATGAATATACTAAAGATGAGGATACTGATGATGAACAACCGGCATGTTTAGTGCAACACAGTGAGGCAGGTGAAATGTTTGAGTAATGTCAAGGCTGGCTTGAACATCCACCAGAGGCTACTGTGTATAGTACAACATTATTCAGAGAATTACAAGTATTTGCTATAAAAAAGAGAATGGAATGCATTGTTCAAAGTAAAATAACTAAATATTTTAAATAAATAGGACACAAGTTTTTTTAAAACTGACTTATCTCTATTTGTCCCTTTATTATGTATATTGTCTTGCGTCTGGTTACACAAGACTAATGCAGTATACTTGTTCATGCATAGATGCTTGAATTAATAACGAAAAATATTTTAAAAATAAAACAGCAAATACAACAGGCTACACTGAGTACTGTATTTTTTCAGTAATCTTTAGTTCAGCTAACAATGCTTGAGTCTATTCATACATGAGTTGAATTTGAGCTGACTAAGTGAGTTTGTCAAGTTCACAACTGATCTTACAAATATGCTGCTTGCTTGCACAAAATATGTAGCTACACGGTACCTCAAGGCCTACTCCTTTTCTCCTGTTACCAGTAACAAAGCATGTTATTGCTCCTCCATCACCTTAAATGTTCCAAAAATACATTGACAAGTTTTATGGTACACGTCCAACAGTTGTAACTTCTTTTTTATTGTTACAGCAAATTGATCATAATAGTTGCCAAATTCCTGTTCTAAGTGTTGTTTTTCACCCATGAATGGTGTCCATATCTCTAATATACATGATGACTGCGAATAACACTGTATCTCAATGCAGATGTTTTCATTTGCTGCAGTAGCCATATAATATTAATTTTGCATGTGTGAAACCACGCCCATTTCAATTATCCTGGACTTTTAACTTATCCGGACCCATCCGGATATTCAGATGGACAAGGGGTCTGGATAATTGAGGCTATACTATATTACTATGCTTTACAGGTAATGATAGCTGGAAAGGATTTGATGATTATTTAGCAATATTTTAATTGCTTGATATTGGAATGTGCAATACAGTGGAACCTCCAAATAACAAAACTTTTTGGACACAAGAGTCTTTTCATTACATAGAGGTTTTCATTAAAGGGAAGTTTTGTAAGTGAGGCATCCCCAATGTGAGACTATACCGTCTTATAAAAAATGAGGGGCAGTAGACAGCTGAGTAAGCTGGGTAATAAATTGCAGAATAAGAAAAGAGATGAAGAAAATAAGTCTGCAGAATATGTTTCAAAATGAAGGAAAGGCTATTAAAGGCAATTATCTGTGCTCCTGGATAGTAAGAGGGCAAAATAAGAGTGACAGAGCATAATGTGAGGAGAAAAAAGACGCCATTTTTAAAGTGGGCACGTCTCTTAATTGATTATGATATCATATGACGTCACAGAACTAGTGCTCATGCGTGGCCAAACCCACTTTTCATTAAATGGAAGTAAAATGGCATCTTGGTTCGAAAAAAGCTTTCGTTATTGCATAATAGAGGAGTTTTTGTTAAATGGAGGTCTGTTTTCATTGAAAAACTGGGGAAATGAGTTGGTACATTAGTTTTTTTTCATTATAAGGAGGTTTTTGTTAAAGAGAAGTTCCATTATCAGAGGTTCCACTGTATGACATTAGCATTAGTTGTAACATTATTTTAGCCTTGTTTTGTAGATAGTATTAAAAGTTTAATGTTAGATTTCTAAATGTCATATTTACTTTTGTAGATCATGAATGTCGATGGCACTGTGCATGTTCGTGTACATATTCAGTTTGTCTATAATAATGATTATTAGGTAAGATTTGATTTCTTAAATCAAGCAATATGATTATGTGAATTTTTCATCTAGCATTATTGAAAGAAACTAAAGGGAATAAGCATATATGTCTTGTCAGACACTTGGCTATGCTAATGTATTTTCATCCTGGCTTTTCGCTGATGCATTTTAAATTGACAGATTGATTATTTCTTAACATTTATTATTATAAAGCAAAGTTTCTAATAATAGTTATAGTTATTGATTGAGGCCCCTTGGGACCTTGGCCTACGGCCCCTAACTCCGCCTTTTCCAGCTCTCCTTGGTAGTTTTGCATACTATTACAGAAAATGAATATAGTATTAATTACATCATAATAAAAATATACTATTTGTCTGTTCACAGCCCTCAGCTGGGTAATTATGTGCTGCTTTTGCTGTTGCAGCAAAGGCAGTCTTGGGGCTCTTCCTGGAAGGAGCACTGGGTGCTCCTCCAGGTGGGAGCACCGCCGGGCCTCCATCTACTGGAGGTGAAGGTGATGGGCCTTTAGCTTTTGGGAGTGCTGGAGGAGGTGGTAGAGGTAGCCTGCCTAGTGGTGTTGGCAGTGGCGGAGGTGGTGGTGGAGGCCCTCCATCTTGAGTTACTGGAGGTGGCGGACCTCCAGCAACTGGTAAAGCTGGTGGTGGTAGCGGTCCTCTTGGAGGTGATGGTGGAGGCCCCTCCATCTCCATCTACTGAAGGTGGCAGACCTCCATCTATTGCTGGAGCTGGTGGTGGTGGCAGGCCTCTGGGAGGTGGTGGTGGTGGAGGCCATCCAGCTAATGGTAGTCTGCCATGATGCTCATCATAATCCATATACAACCAAACAATATGAAAATATAATGATAGCTAATGTAATTTTCTAAATGAACTGACTTGCTGCTTTTTGAGAACAAAGGTTTGCAAAACTGCGGAAAAAGTTAAGAGATGTGACTGTGAGTGGAGAAATAGCAACTGAAGCTGAATGTAAACTTAAATTGTTTTAGAGCAGGAAATAGATCTTAGTAATGTTGAATAATAATTAATAAATATGAGTTATTATAGGCTATGAAAATAATTAATGATTCAATAATTCAAAAAAAAGTAATTGTATGACAACTATTTTTATAATGCGGTAGGTGTTCTTACAGTTCTTACTTCAAAAATACTTTCTTCCAGCAATGAACTGATACCTAAGGAAAAATTGTAATTATTTATGAAAAGGATTATTATATAATTAGTAATGATAAATAATTATAAGCTAGGCTATGAATGTAATTAATGATTTAATAAGTCAAAAAAATTATTAATGTCATAAGTTTTTTAAAAGTTATATGAAGAATAATAAAAACAATAATTATTAATTATTAATAATTTTCTAAATTAATTGTTAAATGTTATTACTTAATGATAAAAAGGATTATTAATTAGTAAAATGTATTAAAAAGTATGGAAACAAGTAAATAAAAAATTTCTATTAAATAAAAAAAAGTAGGGTTGTCAAAAAATAAAAGAAAAAATGGTGTTGAGTTCAACCATAATAATAATCTGTCAATGAATAATAATAAATGCTAATTAATAAAAATAATTCATAAAAATATTACAAAGATTTTTAAGCCCTACTTTGCCGAATTTTATGAAGGAGCATTAATGGAAGAATGTTAACAAAACTGCTTAGTTCCAGACGATACAACTGTGGCGACTCCGATTACAATTCTTATACATTAAGATTTTAATTTTTAGATATTGCACGGAATCACAAACATTAAAAGATGCAATAGCCAAATAATTATCTTGAACTTAGATATTTTAATTGTCATGACAGTAATTTATTCAATCAATACTAGCTAAAAAGTTTAATTTATATTTAACAAGACAATTAGTTTACATCATAGAAATGCAGTAGAGTAATCAAGGTACAAAGGCATAATTAGTATTAAAATTCTATTTCTGCCCATTATCATTTTCTGCAAAGTAGGGTTTAAAATCTTTGTACTATTTTTATGAATTATTATTTTTATTAATTAATGTTCTTTATTATTAATTAAACTTTTAATTAATATTACAGTTGAACTCAACCCCCTTGTTTCTTTTATTATTCAACAACACTACTTTTTTATTTAACAAGCTTTTTTCATTTACTTCTCAAATGTTTATGCAGCGGTCATATGTTATATTGTTGTTGCAAATAGTTTGACTTTCAATTTTACAACAATAATAAACAATATTAAGTAAAATTTTTTAAATTTAAGCCAACTCAGATTGTACAGAAAATTCAGATTCAGATGGCTTTTAACTTGAAATTTCTTCGTTTTCTTCAGTACATGGTAACAACTAAGACTTTGACTGCAGAAATTCAAATGACCATTTAAGTTTAGTAAAACAATCTATAATCCCTCTGTTTTATGCACTCTCATTTTTTACTACTATGGAGGTAAAGGTCAAATCAATCTTTTTAAGATTATTCTTGAAATAGCAACTCTTTATCCAATAAACTCAATTCTTCCACCAATTTCATTTGAAAGTTTGACTTGACAACTTTGTGTTGTGCACCTGAAGAAATAGCTATATCAGGAGCTTTTTTTTAAGTAACCAAAATTTAGTATCATTTTTCGAAACATCTTACAGAGGAAGCACACTTGTTCCAGTACGAGAGCATATGTCATTGTATTTGACTAAAACTTCTTT